CACGATTCGCCAATAAACGTCTACGACTCCCACGAGTGTTTTTGTCTACTTCGGGCAACGAGACACTAGGAGGTCGCGCGCATATTGAGACTCGTACGAAGACATACCGGCAGGCCATCAACTCTGGTTAGCTTCAGGTCCTGCAAACACGCTAGCAGAATATATAAATTTCATGAATATAGACGCCGTGGGATGTATAAAAACGAAAGTCTGACTCTCGGGAAAGTAAAAGCTGTATGGTACTCATGAGTAGTATAATGGATACAGGGGAAGAAACATCTAATTACGAGTAGTAATCAACACTACCCCCGGGATCGGGGAATGTGACTAACCAAAGTCATGAACGTAAATCCGATTTGAGAAGACATAACTGTCGTATATCTCGTCGATGAGCACCATTGGCTGTACGTACAACGACTTCCGTTACTCGTCCATCGCTTCACGAGGGTGTGTCACTCTGCCCTGACATTTTCTTCATTCACCCACAGCTCAGATAAACCCGGTGATTTGTAGATTCTCTGCAAGTCTGGGTCATCTTGGGTAAGCGATATATCCCTTTGTACGCTTCCAGGAATGTCCTGGTCTTTTTCCGCTCTGTCACTGCCAGTTGGCCATCCAAGTCTTCTAGAGCAGCCACATTTTCCCTCGTTCTCTTTTTAGATTGTATTTAGGCATATAATCCTTTTGGACTCGCCTTTGCTGACCTGGCTAACCTACGCTCGAAACGGAACTCATCTTGGGCTTCATTACGAGCCTGTTTATAGCCGTCATATGCCTGGTTGGTGCGGTACGTGATGTACGCTGCCCATATTTTCCTCCGGATGTCTACGGCCCTCTCCACTCTTGGCCGCCACCACGGAGGCTGCCGTTGTTCTCTGAATGGCCTAAGCGGTCCGAACTCCGCTGTTAGCCTCAGTAGTCCGTTTTGGCTGCTTCCCATCTATCTTCTAGGGTAAAGTCGGGATGATTAAACACCCAGGATATTATTGCCGCAGTCCTTTTCATTTCTTCTATCCTTAGTTTGCCATAACACCTAATAAAGTCTGCTGGAAGCAATGCTTTCTGTATGGAAAGTGAAGCCTTCATCACTACGTGAGCACTTTTGCCCAGAGGTACCTCAGCCCTCAGTTCGCTAATAGTTTTGTGGCATCTTTTGATCAATGGATCTAAATATGAGGGCGATCGACCCCCTCGGTGTCTTGTTGCCATCACAACGTGTTAAACCACTGGTCCCAGTTGATGACTGGAAATTTAAAGTCACCCAGAATAACGAAATCCCTAGTTCTAGCGAGCACTGCTTGCAGTACTCTCAGTATGTCGTCATTCTCCTATCGACTAGCGAGAGGGCTGGTGGCCAATTCCCCCCATTTTCCTTGGATGCTGCAAGCATTTGTGTACCAAATCTGTGGTTCAATTGCTTGCAGTTCATGTCCCACTACGGCTTTTGCGGAATCCGTGCTGCTGTGGATTGAGGAAGTTCGAGACTCTAAAAAATTCTCTTATTTCGTCTCTATTATGCTTTCCATTACTTTTGAAAGTATGGAAACAAGGGCTCCCGAACGATAGTTTTCGGGATTTGTGCGGGATCCCGATTTGTATATCGGAGTTACAATGCTAGCTTTCCAATTACATGGGAGTTTTCCTGTATTCATGGATGACGTAAACAGTTGTTTGAGGGGGGACTTCGAACCCCTGCGCAGTTTTTGAGAAGTATAGCCGGTATGCTATCCAGACCCGGAGATATGTTCAGGCGGAGATTACGCAATTCGGCTTCGATGGTGGCTCTGTCAAAATGTATGACGGAGAGTACTTCGGTTGGAGTCCAGTCCAGTCCAGTCCAGTCCAGTCTTCACAGGACGAATAATGGCCCTTGCCAATCGAGCGTCCAGATTATTGTGTTGTCAGCGGGTGTTCTTGGCTTCCAAAACTGCGTTTTCTGAGTTTCTTTTAGCCAGTTTCTTTTATCAAACGGGCTGGAAAAGAGAAAACAGAAGAGATGTCTTCTCGCCTCGTCGGTGAAGGACCTTAGTAAGCGAAACAGGGTTGGTTGGCTGTTGTTCCGCGTAGTGGGTCACTTTTGAATACGGTTTCGAAGTGTATTGCTAAGGCTTCCGCGGCTTCCACGTCAGAGGAACTTTCAGCATTTTCCGTTTTTATATCGGTGATACCATTAGTAACTGACCCAGTATGGGCTGTGTTGAATGGAGGGAATGCTTTGGTCGACTTTACTACTAAGTATGAATAGGGAATTTGCACAACAAGGGAAATTCCAAGAAAAAGGCTGATAACATGGACTACGTGATCTTATTTCCAAACTGGTTTTACTGTGCTACTTATATAACGCTCAGCGTTCGGGCGCCAACCCGACCGTTTTGCACCAGGATGGTACGTTGTACATTCTCCAATAATTTTTTTGAAGGACCATGCTGAATATGCCAGGGAGCTGGCTAGATTATATGGAGTGGATCCGAATCTGTCCTATTCCAGTCTTCTTGAAGAGTTCAAGAAAGTTTTGGATGCTAAGAGAGCAAAGCTACAAAAATTGTATAAAATGAAAGCGGGCGTTCAGAAAATACAGGATAATGCTACTATAGATCGACGTTCCAGTCGGGCAACGACAACAGATGTCATCAAAGAATTAAATGTTGACGTTCAGGATCTGACACAAGATATTGGGGATTTGGAAACTTCGCTCTTATACCTTAAACATTCAGCAGTGAATGCGGATAATCCAGCTTCAACACCTACGGGCTCAATCATTAATGAAAATATAATCGACTCTAAATTGGCTGAACTACAGAAAGCTTTAGAAATTGAACTTCAGGTGAGTAACTGTTCTTCTTCTTCGCTAGCATGTTAGGTCAAGAGTGGTGCTCAACGCCTCATTGATACATACAAAGGTGGTAATCGCCAGAACGCATCGATTTTGGAGGAAGCAAAGCGCCAGTATGAGATCTCAAGTAATAAAATTGGATTCATACGAAATCAGTTGATTCGTGTCAAGCAACAGAGCGAGTCTGCTCAACAGGTAAGCCCTTTGCTTTACCACGATTGCCATTATAAGTACTCTGTTTAATTCGAAATTAACGTCACGATTTATCCTCATTTTGCATCAGTAGATTAATCCATTTTGACGTTTCGTCAGCATTTTCAATTAAGTACTCATCACGTGCAAGTCATTCTGCGCCTGTACTGTCCCGGCCATTTCGGAAGGTTTAGTTTTTAATCGCTACGGGGTCTCAGATTAGGTTTAAAACTCTATTGCATGTGATAAAACGGTCATAAATGATAGGCCAACTTCTATTGAGTTCATTTGGAGAATATCTTGGCTGCAGAACGAGTCCATGTTCAGCACACTTGACAGTTTCTCACTCTCCTGCATGCTCATGTCTGATTCTCTTGTGCTCCTCGTTATTGCCACTGAATAAATGAACTAAATCTGCATTTACATGTTTCTTCGTTAATGCATTTGAATTCCTGACGGCGAGCGCTGGTTAAGTATGTTTCTTGTTATATTCCCCGGAACGCAGTTTGTGCTCTAAGGGGAAATCAATTTTTGTGTTTCTTTTGACTGAAAGTTAGATAAATCACTTACTTATTGTAATAACACCCGGTGGTTCTTCTAACTGCCTACCTTTTGTGTCCTTAGTGGGATTAGAGCGGACAACCTTTAGGTCGGAATCGTAAATCTTTCCCCTGAGATACACAGTCAGCGATCAATAGTTTCAGCGCTTAGTTGTACCAGTATCAGTCCTTGAGACTTCGCTTATCGGCTCCGTTTATCGTTCTTGGTAGTGTATTTTTCCTACTCATCGTGCGCACGCATTACTTTTCGATTTAGAAATTGGTAGTTTCTCGAAGCAAACGGGATCGACTTGTGCTTCATGCGCCTGCACATAGATAACATGGCATAATGTATATTCACGCTACGGTAAACTAGTCTGATAAACATAGTAAGCCGCATTTGCAACGTAAAAATACCTCTAAAACGTGTTACTGCCCTCACGCAATGCAGTTTCTTTTTGTGATCTAGAATAGTACCATANNNTACCATAGTGTAGATCAAGGACACTGATCATCTACAGACGTGCATACAAGTGAGCCAAGTATTGACTCGGATTATCAAGTCATTGCTGTTATTAGTCAAAGTAGCCAGTACATTTTTCAATACAGAAATTACCTTAAATCACTCAAACATGTTTTCTTTGATTGGATTTGCGGCTGACAGATATTAGATTCCCATGAAATCCATGTATTAGTGCTTTTTTGAATGTTTTCAGCCTATGACCAGGAAAAAACGTACCTCTCAGGTGAGCAGAGAAAATAAAACATAATCTTTAAACATGAAGATATTTTTAGTGTAACTGTTGTTACATGATTTAGTTTCTTTAGCATCAACTCACGTTAAAATAGAATAATAGTTTGCTGTGGTAATTACATCAATGCATTTAATTGATTTATCAAATAACTGTATTAAAAGAATCCCAGATATGCTTGATCTATACCAACACACTTTCGAAGTGACTCCTAGGCTTTCAATTCAAAGTTTAACTAAACAGCAGTAATGTTCTATTTAGTTTGCTGCTTTGTCACAGCAGACTGGCATTCTAGCGCATTTGGGGAGGATTGTCATCGCACCGATGCAGCTCACCGTGATTGAAGCCTTTGATAAAGCTAGGTTTGAAACCGTTCACTATGGTCTAGCACAATAACCCGCCTATCTTAGTGAAACCCAAGTGCGACTCCTAGTCTCCGGGCTTGGATTACCGGTTATCATAAGTAAACAGTAGCTCTTAGTGACCAGAATCTATCCGTTCTGCTGCTCATCTCACTAAGTGTCCTACCCCCAGATTTGATCTTCGAGTCTGTTCTTGATCTTTGGGATGCGCATTTATCTGAGGATATCTATGGGCAGCAGTGGAGTATTTCAGTCTATCGTTGGCTCGGTTCCACTCCACGTTGCAGCCAGCGCCGTCAAATGCGTTGTAGTACTTGTAGTTGTTATACAAGATCAGCATGGGACACTACTTTTCTTATTTACTTAACTCCGGCTGGATCCTTGGAAAAGATAAGTCGGCTCCAGACATGATCATAAAGTTCCTTGGGAGTTTGGTACGAGACACGTCCCCAGTGTCGGCGCTTTTTACTTTGAGGGCGTACCTCTAGCCTTTGCACAACCAAGTGCGAACTGCAAGAAGTAATTTGCAGGAAGTAATCCCTCGCCTCGAAAGTGAGGGGGTCAATGACTAGTTTTAAAAGGCCAGTCAACTCGACCTTTGTCCCGACACCGTCACCGGGCTTATGCGTGTTTTACACAGGAGCCAGGTGCCCAGCCTGGAACCCACCACACCCTGGTAATGCTACCGCTGTTTGTTCGCGACTGCTTATTTGTTGCGGTACGCCACAACTTATTCCTCGGTTAAGGTATCCCCCTATCCACAACCCGGGATGCGCCTGGTAGCATTCAGCTCTGCTTGGTCCGAGGGTATCCACTACGTTTCGCTACCTAATAACTATAAGCTGTTGAAAGATTTTCACGTTTCTGTTCTCGAATTTAGTTAATCTTTCGTCATCATTTGATCGACCAAAAAGATAAAGATATT